GTGTGTGTGTGTGTGTGTGTGTATGTGATAGTGATATGTGACATGTGATATGTGATATATGACATATGAAATATGACAAATCTATAACAATAACAATTAATATGGCGCTTGAAATAGCAGAATTAAAGAACTTATTGAAATGAAATAATTGTAAATATGTAATAGAGCTCATACACAGCATTGACAGCAGAACAATTTCTGGTCTCCAGATCCTCAAATAAGAGTGGAACAAGTGAACTGTTTATTCCTGATATCAATTTTGGGAGATATTGCATCATCCAGTGTGTCAACTCCACATCATCTGCCTTTCGAAGTATGGGCTGGGCTGCCACCAGCAAGTGCTCCAGAAGGCTGGCTTGGACCTCCTTTGGCAGGCTAACATTGTCCTTGAAAAGGAAGATCAAGAAGAAGAGTGTGACTGAATTATTCTATTATTTCTTGAGAAAGGTATTACATGAAAGTAGAAATTAGATGTTTGGGCACCAGGTGGACTCTCTCATAATCAGATGATACTTTGACAAAAGTTTTGCAATTGTGCCTATTCCTAATATCTATCCAAGGATTTCCCTTGATGGGTGCACTTCCGTTTCAAGGGACCTGTTTCATCTGAAACTGCCTTAGAATAAAAGTCACATCCTGCTAATGAACTCTCATCAGTGTATCTCCTCCTCACTTCATCTTGGCTATAATACTCATTGGAAGAATAACAGAATAATAGAGTTGGAAGTCTTCTAGTCCAACCCCCTATTCAGGGAGGCCCTATGCCATTACAGTCAAATGGCTGTCCAATCTCTTCTTAACAAATTCCAGTGATGGAGCACCCACAATGGCATGGTGTTTCACTGATTAATTGTTCTAACTGGCAGGAAAATTCTCCTTAATTCTAATGTTTAATTCTCTCTTTGTTAAACTTCCATCCGTTACTTCATGTCTTGCCTCAGATGTTTTGGAAAATAGGTTGATCCCTCTCTTTTTTGTAATAGCTCCTTAGATATTGGAAGACTGCTATCGTGTCACTCCTAATTCATTAAACTAGACATACCCAGTTCCTGCAACCGTTCTTCATATGTTTTCGCCTCCAATCCCCTAGTCATTTTTGTTGCTCTTTCTGTATTCTTTCTATAGTTTCAACATCTTTTTTATATCATGATGACCAAATAGAGTGGTAAGGAAAGAAAGATGGGGAATAGATCCACATTTTTTAAAGGATGTATTTTATACATGAATCAAGACTCAAAGATGGAAAAGCTAGCTTTCCAATGTGTCCAGAAAAAAATGAATGATACATCATTTTAGAAAGTTTACCAAGATCAATGTATGAGAACTATATTATGTAGATTCTAAGTATGACTTTGGGCCAGTAAGTCTCTCTCAGCCCAGCATACCTCACAGGGTTGTTGTTATGGGAAAATAGGAGGAGGAAGGTGTGAAGGAAATGCTTGTTATTTGTAAAAATAAAAAGGTTGGATACACATTAAATAAATAAAGTATATGAAATTATGTAGATAAATCAAACAAATAAATGATTTCTAGAACAGAAAGTTACCTTAGTGAAACATGGAAAAAAGAATAATTCAGCACCATATAGGAAAGACAAAGCCAGGAGGACACAAAAAATAAGTAATTGGAAGCCATCTTATTCAAATAAAATTTTCAAATAAAAGAATTAGTTACTGACTTTTAGCCTACAGGCTCATCCCCCAGTGTCCTAACTGTGACTCAAAGATGCTTCATTAAATGTTCTTTTGGGACCCAGTCCCATGAGGCCATCTTCATCTCATCCAACCCATGAATTTTATCTATCTAATCCAATGTTAATGCAGTGTTTCCATCTCCTCCCAAAACAAGTCTTGTGGAGGCTGGTGGCAACCACAAATTTGTCAGTCACATTTTAGCCCCATGTGTGTAAATAGTTTGTGGTTCAGAGTGTCATACAAATTGTTAGTTTGTCTTACCTGAACTGCATGTCTCAAGGGTGGTGTAGGAGCAGTCACTGATAGCGTATTGTTACAGCCCAATTGCCTGGAGACTGAGGTAAATCTGAGGACACTCCCTCTGCTCCTCCTCCTGACTCCCCAGATTAACCAATGGTCCAGATGAAGAAGAACCTGGAAAGGAAGGGACAGAGAACCCCCCAACCTCCTTCCTGGACCCTGACTGATCTGTAGCTATCTACTCAGGCCCAGCGCTGGGCGCCTAAGGGTGGGAAGTGACTGCTCCCACACCAACCTCGAGACATGCAGTTCAGGCAAGACCAACTGACAATCTCCGAGGTGGGGTATGGGAGGAGTCATTGATAGGGGCATACCAAAGCTAGATGTCCATGGGAAGGATGGGCCTGAGTTGCCTGAGTATCTAGAACATCCTGGAGAACCCTCCTCCCGAAAGATGCCGAAGTATACGTATCTAGCCGGTAGTGTCTGATGAAAAATGAAGGTGAGGACCAGGCGGCAGCCCTGCAGATGTCCTCGATGGGGGCCTGGGTGGCCCAGGCCGTCAAGGTGGCAGTACTCCTAGTGGAATGAGCAGTGATGCCCTGCGGCACAGGCAGACCCCGGGCCTCGCAGGCCTTGGAAATGGCTAACCTGATCCACCTGCTGATGGTGGTCGGGGAGATTTTGGAGCCCCAAGACCAGGAGTGGAAGGACACAAAGAGAGCCTCCGAGCCCCAGAAGGGGGCTGTGTGCTTGAGGTAGATGCGTAGAGCCCTTCTCACGTATAGGTGGTGCCAGGACTTCTCTCTCTCTGACTCGGGGGAAGGATAGAAATCCGGAAGGATTACCTCCTGGCTCCTGTGAAAGGGGGAATTGACCTTGGGCATGAAGGCTGGGTCGAGTCTAAGCACAACCCTGTTGTTGTGGAAGGTACAGAGGTCTGTCCTGGAAGACAGAGCGTTAACCTCGGACACCCTTCTGGCGGAAGTGATCGCCATGAGGAAGATCACCTTGAGTGTGAGGAATTGAAGCTAACCTCCCTAAGGGGTTCGAAAGGTGACTCCAGGAAGGCCTGGAGCACTGTGGGGAGATCCCAGGAAGGGAACTGGTGGACCACCGGAGGTCGAAGATTGGCTGAGGAATCTCTTAATGACCGGAACCTGGGACAGGGACTGGGAGCCCTCCCCCCAAAGGATGGTGGCTAGGGCAGAGACCTGCCTACAGATAGTGCTATGAGCCAGACCTTTCTCCAGACCCACCTGGAGGAAATCCAGTACCTGAGGGACAGAAGCTGTTGAAGGATCTATCTGGTTGGTCTGACACCAGGTCGTGAAGGCGGTCCACGTCGCATTGTAAATGTGCGTGGTGGATCTCCTCCTAGAAGCCTCAATGGTCTTGATGACTCTAGAGGAGATCTGGGCGTCCCTCAATTGCTCCCGCTCAAGCTCCAAGCGGTCAGATTGAGCCACTCTGGGTCTAGGTGCACCAGACTCCCCTGGCACAGGTCCACTTCCCCCTGTGGGATCGCCAAGGAGGCTGAATCGATAATTCCACCAGATCCGTGAACCAGGACCACCGTGGCCAGTGAGGGGCTACAAGGATGATCTCTGCCCTCTCTACCACTAGTTTCCTCATGACCCCGGGGACGAGGGGAAGGGGAGAGAAGGCGTACAGAAGGCCTAGCAGCCATCTGCAGTGTAGGGAGTTGGTGTCGATCGCCCACTGTGTTGGAAACCACGAGATGAATCTCAGAACCTGAGCATTCGACGGAGAGGCGAAGAGATCCACAGTCATGCAGCCGAACCTCTGGCAGATCTGAGTGAAGATGCTGGGGTGAAATTGCCACTCCCCGTGGTCTACCGTCTCCCTGCTGAGCCAGTCTGTCTGCTGGTTCTCCACTCCAGAGATGTGTTCTGCTTGGATCGATAGGAGATTCTGCTCCGCCCAGCATCCCAGACGCTTTGCCTCGTCGCGTAGAGGTACAGAGTGAGTGCCTCCCTGCTTGTTCACGTGGGCCTTGGCTGCCACGTTGTCTTTCAGTACCTAGATATGGTTCCCAGCGACCATCTGTTTGAACCGCCGAAGGGCTAGGTGGATCACTCTGAGTTCCAGCCAGTTGATGCTCCTCCGCAGGCCTGTCGACGTCCACCGGCCCTGGGCTAGCTGGGACTGCAGGTGCGCCCACCCCCCCAGCCAAACAGACTTGCATCCGTGGTTAGGACCAGTCTGTCTGGCTCCCTGAAAAGAGAACCCTTGGCCAGGGATGGGGACCTCCACCAGCAGAGGGAGAGAAGTACCTGGGGGGTCACTAAGACCCTGAAGCTTGCATCACTTGTCCCGTTCCTCTGGTGAGGGAGGAGGAACCACTGCAATTCTTTGGCATGAAGGCAAGCCCAGGGGACGATCCCGATGCAGGAGATGAACTTCCCGAGAAGCCTGGAGAGAAGAGCTATGGGAACAGATCGAATCCTGTGAATCTCCTGAATCAATTCAACAATGCTGTCCCTACGCTCCTGGGAAAGAAACATCTTGCCCTCCACTGAATCAATGATGGTGCCCAGGTGTTGAAGTCTAGTGGAGGGGACAAGGTGACTTTTCTCAAGGTTAATAGAGAACCCCAGGGACCTCAGGGTACTAATGGTGGTACTGAGATCCCCTTCTGCACGGACAGCCGAGGGGGCTAGTACGAGGATGTTGTCAAGGTAACAGTGTAGGCAAACCGGGAAAGAGCGGAGGTGGGCTGCAGCCATGGCCAGCACCTTGGTGAAGGTTCTGGGGGCCGAGGCCAACCCGAAGGGAAGAGCCCTGTACTGGTAATGAAAACCCCGGTACAAGAACCTGGGAAACTTGCGGTGATCAGGGGCAATCATGATGTGGAGATAAGCCTCCGTGAGGTCAACGGAGGCTAGGAAATCCCCCTGTCTGATCCCCTCTAGGATGGACTTGAGGGAAGCCATTTTAAACTTCCGGTAGACAATCCTGGAATTTAATAGCTTGAGATCTAGGATGGCCCTTCCCCCCCCCCCCACCAACTCTTGGAGTCTAGGAAGAGGTGGGAATAGAACCCTAACTCTTTCTCCCCCTCTGGAACTGGTTCGATAGCGTTAATCTCCAGAAGGTGACAAATGGCCTCGGTCATGAGGGTGCGCTTGACCGGGTTCTTTAAATAAATAAACTCCATAGCATATAATCACATGTATACTATTACATAGTCAATATAATGTTGTATTAAAGTACTTACATCAATTCATCTTACCATCAACTACCAAAGAGAAAAAATAAAAACCCAGTTATTGACTCTTCTGCTCCCCATACACCATATTTATACCTTATCCAACACTTTCTTCCCCCTCTTTCCTCTCCCTTTCTACATCCTGTCTTCCCTCCATCATTTTCTACTCTACTTCCCCTTCTTTTCTCCTTCTCCTCTCTCCCCTTACCGCTCCTCCTTATAAACCTCATCTTCCCCCTTCACCCTCTATCCTATCCCTCTCTTCCTTGACAGGGTTCTTGGAGGAGGGAAAGGTGCAGAATCTACTGGGGGGTTGGGAACGGAACTCCAGGTGGAGTCCCGACCTGACTATCTGGAAGACCCAGGCATATGTGGTGATGCCCTCCCAGGGGTCTTCGAAGGAAGAGAGGCAACCGCAGATGGGGTGACCCGATCCCGAATCACTTAGCCCTGCGGAAGGGGTGGCCACCCCCCCTCGAAAGGGCCACTTGCCGGGCTGCTGGAACCTATATCTATCCCTGGAGAATTGCCTATCCCCCTGTCTGGGATACCTGGGAGCAGAGTACCTCTGCTGTTGGAGATCCTGCTCAGGTGGCCGATAGGATGATCTCCTGGAGTAAGGTGCCGCCCAGTGGTCTGCGCGTCTGGATGTGGGCAGGAAGGCCTTCCTCTTGTTTTTGTCCTCGACGAGGATGGGGTCCAATGAGGGTCCAAACAGCTTGTCGACTGTGTACTTTGCTTTTGCAAGATGCCACTTTGCCCGGAACTCGGCCTGCCAGTGGCGAAGCCATAGGAGACATCTGGATGCCACTGAGGATGACAAAGCCCTGGAAGAATACTTTACCACGTCCAGGGTAGCATCTGCCAAGAACTGGGTCACCGCCATCAACTTCATGATGTCCTGTAGCAGTCTCATGTCTGATGCTGGTGTCCTATCCTGGATCTGCTCCAGCCATAAAAGGGTGGACCTATTAAAGAACGAGGCGGCTGCCTCCACCTTGATCACCCATGAGACAGCCTGGAAGGTCTTGCGCATGACCAGCTCCGCTCTCCTGTCCTCTGCCTTCAGGCAGTTAGAGATATCTCCTGTCATCACGGCAGAAGCGGAAGCCACTGGGGCATCCATGGGAGGAACCTGTAAGGCTTGGGCGAAAGCGGAATTTAGGTTATAAAATCTGCAATCGTTACTCCTTGGGGTGGGGAAGGAACCAGGCTTGGACCACTGGGACTTGAGGTCCTCCAAGAAGAGGTCTGGGGTGGGAATCTCTTCCTTCTCTACCTGGGGTCTGTGGAAGGGGCCCTGCTTCTTCCCCCCACTAGTGCTAGGAGTAGCAGAGTTCTGGCTACCAGCTGGGGGCGGGTCCAAATCTGCGGTGGCTTTGGCCTTGCGCAGCAAGGAACTGAATAAGGCAGGAGGAAATAAACCTGTGATGGTAGGGACCTCTGAGGCTATGGCATCCTCGTCCTCTGAGAAGCCCAAATCCTTCTGCTCTCTCTCTCTCTCTCTCTCTCTCTCTCTCTCTCTCTCTCTCTCTCTCTCTCTCTCT